TTAAAAAAATAGTTCTTCACAACAGAAAATCACCTCATTGAGATGGTAATAAGTGGTCTGCACAGTACATCACTCCTGCGCCCTCATTTTGAGAAATAAATAAAGACAAAAAAAAACCGATGAATTAGAAGCTAAACGAGAGAAAAGTAAAAGCTGCTCACAATACAAACCTAAACCAGTGTAGCTTAGGATTCCTGTTGTGTTCATTGACAAACACTTTGGTCAAAACATTCAGTTGTCTCTGTGCCTGTCTTTTCCTCCCCAACCCATGGTCAAGTTTCCCGACCATAGTTTGTGTTGTTTATTTATTCCTCGTGATCAGCTTGACTGCAGTAATCCACAATTTCAACACCTTACTTCAGATTACTAGAATATTTCAGTAATCACTCAATACATTTCATGGTTGCAATGAATTTCCATTTCAAAATGGACATTTTGTAGTTACCTGTCTATAGTTACCAGCAAGGCAAATGGTTGGTGGTACATGACAAAGTGGAACTAGGCAAAAGTCAAGGACTCTTTTTCCTACCTTTGGCACATCAGGCATACAGGGCTTCACCTATATTTGTATCAACAAATCAGCAATCAATGGGAGACGTGGCCAACAACATGTTGGCCACCTTTACTTCTCAAGAAATTACCTGGTAACCATTTTAGGCCGAGTCTACCTTGTTAGTACAGGATGTTGCAGAACCAACGCTACCATGTTTTAGCTGTTGTGGTTTTTCTAAATTTTATGTTCAGTAGTTTGCCACTGCTTCTTGAACTGTCAGCTCTGGGTACCACTGTCAAAACCAATGCAAGACAAATTCTACATTAATGGGAATCAAACTCGCCACCCTAGCACTACAAAATGCCTTCTCAACACCTAAGCCACAGATACAAATATCTACCTGGTAGCCATAATTAATTTTGAAAAATGATCACATCGACATGGATTTGGCTCTTGATCTTCAGGATGGCAGGCAGGCAGGCATCTAGCCACTAAGTTTCCTAACATGAAACTTCATGAGGGAAAATATGAACAACTGATTGCACTGAAGAAACGGAGCACAGATGGACAGGGCAACTAAACTAAGGAAGACATTTGAAAGCAAGCTTTGGCATCAGTCTTAAAACTCAAATATGAAAGAACAGCAGAGCACAATATCTTTGCATTACATGTTCAGGAGAAATCTGAAAACAGTTCACCTCAGTTCTAGAATTTTTTTTTTCTCACTTCTATACTCTATACAACATCAGAGACTTTCATTTTCTTAACCAAGACAATTAACATTTGGACTTTTTAGTCTACACATCACCAGCCAATTTCAATATTTAGAAAAACATCACCAGCCAGTTTCAATATTTAGAATAACATCACCAGCCAGTTTCAATATTTAGAATAACATCACCAGCCAGATTAAAATTTTTAGAATGACATCTAAATCCATTTCAGTTCTAAGAATAAAACCACCATGTGGTTTCAATTTTGAGAATATCACCATTTCATTTCAAAATTCAGAATGACATCACCCACCAGTTTCTTTATGCAGAATGACATCACCACTCAATTTCAATATTCACAATGAAATCACTGTTTCAATTACTCAGAATGACATCACCACGCAGTTTCATTAATGAGAATGACATTAGCATTCTTTCAGTATTGTGAATGACATCATTACTCAGTTTCAGTTACTCAAAATGAAATCAAAAATCAGCTTCAGAATCCAGATAGGCAACCTCTAATCAGCTTCAATATTCGAAACATAATTTCACCACAGAAAGGAAATTATCTATGATTTGCCAGATTATTTAGTTCAGTACCTGGCATAAATGGTATATCAGTATTATAGTTAACTTGCCTTTAAATTCAAGTAGTCTGTTTAAAACAAAACAAAAGCCTAAATAAAGAGCATAGATATTTAAAAAAAAAAAAAACATTTCCTTTAGGCAAGGTGCACAGCAGACACAATGTTTACAATGTATTTTTATTCTCCTGCCTGTCGCAGCTCTAAGACAAGAGTAGAAGACATGAACCCAGCTATTCACATGGTAAGTAAGGGACCCTTTTCACGCCAGTGAGGCATCAAGCATATAAACTCATATTTTTATAGACCAATCAGCTCCCAACTATGGTGAAACTATGGGGGTGACTGTAGTCAAGCTAATACGTTGTGTGGTTTTGTGCACGTTTTCCTCTTTCCCATTTTGTTATAAGCTTTTTAGTCAAATTTCTCTGGAATTCAGCTCCCAACTAGTGGTGTTGTCAACACCAAGCCATAACTTTCCACAATTTTACCGGTTACACATTTTACGCTGGGTTGACCATAGCCAAGGTCATTTATTCATATGGTACATCACCAGAAACATCCATCCCTTCCAGACATTACTCAGTTGTTGTTTTGTTTTTTTAAGTTGTAAAAGAAAAAAATTTGAAATTAATAATAAGTGCAATAAGTTAAACAAAATGTGTACACAGAAATTACAGAAAGAAAACACATGGATTTTTTACTGCAAATCACTATTAGGTGAAAATTCCCACATTCTTGTACTAAAATGTAGGGACATTTTTATACATTAATAGAGCCAACTGCCTTTATGTTTCTAAGTTAGATTTTCTCCCATGTGGATTGCACATTGAAAGCTTAAACAAATGACTCAAAGAGGCACAACTCATATTTAAGAATCCAAAAGGAATAAATCCCAGAAACCTCGTTCAACCATATTGATTTGATTTGATTCAAGAACCGACATCACAGCACTCGGGGCATTCCCATAAGCGCTCCGTCCCCATATTCAGTAGCCAGCGAAGAGTTCCGATACTAATAGTGCCAGCAGTATTCTGATTAAAGGTCCGTCTTGCCTTCCCTCTGAGCCTCGAGCATCTGCCAGAACCTTTCGTCACTCCCCGCTGCATCAATCTCACCAGACTGGTGATCCATCTGCTCCTCCGAACTGTACACGCTCTCCCACAAGGCACTAACCACGTCTGCCTTACCATGTATCAGTATTCCACCAAGTTGTACAGAGCCAGCCAGTCTCTCCGCCTGTTCATTTCCCTACACACCTGCGTGACATCCGGTGAAAAAATCCAGACAATACTCCTCACCTGTGTCCTCCGCAGCGAAGCATGCCACTCTGCGCAAAGCATACCTGTTCTGATCTTCTTCAGAAGCTTTCTGAAACAGTTACCACGATGTGGGTGTGTGTCGTGTTCTCTAGCCAGTGGAAAGCTGCAGTGACTGCCTTCAGCCTCATTCTTAAGCTGAATGTTGTGGTATCATACGCTAGGCTCTCCTGCACCAAACGTCCACCATTAACTTTTGCTAAGAAGCCCCAAGCACTTCTTTTGTCTCTTGACACTGAACTGTCTATTCGTTTAACTATATGTTATATGAGGGCATTTGGCAGTTATGAAGTGGTAGTCCAATTTGGGTGAGTAGCTACTTTAACACTAGAAAGTTTCCAGTGTAAAAATGCTTAATCTGTTTATGTACTATTCATCATAATTAATAATTTTATGCAACAGAGACAATGTAAAACAGATCAGAGCATTTTTACAGACATATGGACAGAACATCGACAATACACCAAAAATAAAATAGGATAATGCCAGTATTTTGTTACTATTGGTTTATTTATATTTTAAAATGCATGAATGATTCATTGTTCTAATACAACTATATTTCAAAGGTTGATATTATGTCATTTAACTGTATTCTTAGTATAGTTGTATTTACAGGCATTTGTCTTCAGTCACAGCTCTTAGTAGAACTGAGTAACTGTGAATTATGTATCTGTCTACTGCCTTTCCCATACTTCAGAGAACCAAAGTGCTAGTAATTCTTTCATTACCTCAGCAAAGCAAACTACTAGTAATTCATTACTCAGCAAACCAAACTACTAGTAACTGCTTTACTACTTCAGCAAACTGAACTATTAGAAATTCATCAAAATCTGACTTTTTAACAGAACTATTTTATTTTAATGATCCTTAATTATTACAATGAGTTTTAGTGTGGCAACACACAGAGCCAGTTGTAACAAATTAACAAAACCAATGTACAGCTAGTTACCATCACTGGCGGAAGTGGCCATGAACTTGACAACACAAGTGTAACAATGGCTGACATAAATGCTGCTCATGTACTGACAAATTTATAAGACTTGAAACAGTGCAAAGTTGACATGCCTGTGTATCACAGAAAATTCGAAACTGTTAGGTTTTGTTGTCGTGATGTTGGCAGAAAAATAAAATTATTTCCTTCCAGCAACAGCTATGAACCAACCCAACCACTCAGTCTTTCAAACTTCAAAGAACAAATAAATGAATCAATCAAGAACTCATTGAACTCTAGGCATTCTCAAACGTATTCTGTCCCTTCCTCGGTAGCCAACACAAAACTTAAGCTGATGGTGCTATCCAACTGTAAAGTGCAAGTACAACTTGCTCAACAGTTTGCAGGGAAAACCCTGTTCTATATTTCAGTGGAGTGGGTGGCAATTACAGTTCCAAATAATGAATTTTGCCTGTGTAAACTCTGTGTGGTAATTTTCTCTTGTGAAATTAAAAAGTATACCTATGTCAGGACAACACTGCAGACCAGCTATGTAATCCTAGTGACAACAAACTACTAACAGGTTAATATTATCAGGGGGAAAAAGTGTCCTAATAAAAGATTCAGATAAGTGAAGGGATGTTATCTGCACTGATCCCAGCTGGAGGGCTAGGTTACTGAATTATGTACTACAAGTTACAAAATGTTGCCACAGATTTGTTTTAGACATACTGGACTAGACTTTAGAAGAGTTGTTACCTTATTATACCCATAACACAGAAGTTTGGTGAATCTGATAGTTTTCTATATGGGCTCACAGCAAACAGATGTTTGGCGAACATCTCTCTCTAGGGCTTGTCACAAAACAGAGATTTGATGAACACCATAACGGGGTCATGTGGCAAAAAGACAGCTGAGAAATAACTGATACACAGGAAGACATGTGTGCTGATGTCATCAGTATTTCAGTTTATGTGAGCATGCAGCCAGTGCAGAAGTGCACCACAAGTATTTACACATAAATAGCTGAAGAATATGTACTATTCTGTAATTATATGTTAGGGAATTCGGTGCTATATGGTTCTGATTAAAGGCAAACTCTGAGATTATGTCAGAAACTTTCAGTAATGTACAAAATAAAGACAGACTTGTAGTCAACTCACAGAACTCAGTATCCCAGCTGCAAACATCGATCAGTGATCCAACAGTGATATTTATACACTAGGCCCCCCCTGTGTGGGTTCCAGGGCCCAATTTGGGGGAGGGGGGGGAATAGACCCACTGCCTCTGCTAACAGGCACGCTGCAGGAGCGGAGTCATCACAGGTGTTTCCTCTGAAGTTAGAGTGCATCTTGCTGAGAGGTGATGAATCAACACGCTTCATCTAAATGAGCCAGATCTTTACTAAAGATTTGCATGCAAAACTCTAGTTCTATAACAAGACCAAAGTCCAGAAGTGAATGAACAACTAGACCCCCCCCCCCCAATGGGAGTTTATAGCTGGTGTTAAGACAAAGAAGTACACCTGGCCTTGTCACATAAATGATGTAAACAGGCACCCAGCAATGTGGATGAATAAACGAAGAAGAGATACCTGGCCCATAAGTGATCACATGCTACAGCCCCACATCCAAACCTAACATGTTGAGATCTCTGGACCAGAACCTTCATGTTCAGACACCTGATTAAAGACTCACATGTCCAAATAGATCAGTCACAACACACACTGATCAACTGTGAACCAAAAGGACAGAATGACTATTACTGAACAAGCCTGCAATAAAAATCTACCCAGATTCTGAAAAGGTGACCACTCTATGCTAAAATCAACTGATAATTTCTGTGAGGAACAATGAGCAGTCAGGGATGGGAGGTAAGAGGCAGCAACGGCACAAGTCTGTACAATAGCTCTACCAAATACATCATGAAAACTTACTCTGCATACACAGATCATGCAAAGGGAAAAAACAAAACAAATACAAAAACTACAATCCACCCACAGCCCAGTTTCCACACCCTTCTCATTCATAAGAAAAGGAAAACATGTACAAATCTGAATTGTCACCTATACATCAGGTCTTTCATTCGGTTTATGACACTCGCAACTTTTGTCCTGGTATCATGTGTTACTGAAATTGCCCCCATGAGTCCTCTTGCTATCTTCTCTTAGTTGATATACTGTGCTTTGTGTTTGCTCTTATAAGATCCAAGAGGGTGAATACAAGAAATGTAATCTGGCAAAGATCAAGAATTGAAAAAAAAAGTGAGATAACAAAAAACAAGGTCCTGTTCCAGGCCCAGGATTAGAGGAACTACCCTTGCCATTCAAGCCTTCTTAGGTCACTGGCTTGGTTTGGCATTTGCTCGGTATATGTAATGTTTGTGGGAGGTTGCGTTGTTGTGAGTCTATTTCAGGCGTACAAGTAAGAAGTACTGCAGAGGAAAGCACCGCAGGTGCGACGATTCTTTGCTATCGAATCTGGGATGTTTTTGTATTTCTATGTTTGTTGGCAGTAGCTCCCCCCCCTCCCCGGAGAAAGAAAGCAGTTAGAAGGAGCCTAGGAATTTTAAAAAAATATTGCTTTTTCCATACTCCTGAATCGTCTCAGAAACAGAACTTGAAAATAATCATGCAAGCGAGCATTGAGAAGACATGAAAAGGGGCAATGGTTCAACTGTTCATAATAAGGGAAACATGGCTCCCTCACAACATAGGAGAGGTCCAGCAACCTAAGGAAGCATGACTGGCAAGGAAAGTTACTCTAATCCTAGGCGCCTGGAAACATGAACAGTACCCACACACACAAAAATGAATTGAAAACTAAGATTTAAAAAAAAGAGCAAATTGGGACAGAACACAACAAATAATTATACTATACCACAACAAGCGCACTTACAATAATAAAACATGTTCTGTATTGCTGAACATGATAATATAACGAATAAGTATACGTTAGAATACATCATAACAAAAAGTATACTAAAAAGTACAAAGCAAAACACAAAGGGTTCATACCATAGCAATACTGTTAACAGCAGTAGAAACTGTCACATGACTACTGTTTGTGACACCTAACAAGATATAAGGAGGATACAAAGGGTGTGAAAGGCACATCCTAAAGTATGGAAAAAAAAATTCTTGAAATCTGTCAATGCCCTAAACAAGGTGACAAAATATGAATTAAAACTAAACATGCGTCATATAAGAAAAGTTAAAAATATTTTTTTAAAGTGAAATAAAGCTTTCTACTGCCCAACAAGACACTGCCAGACATAACCATGAATACTTTTGGCCACTGGACCATAGAAAACAACACAGCAACTCACTTTGCCAGTGGTCAGGTTGTGTAGGCCAAAACAGTGCCGTATCTCGTCTTCACTAGCAGCACCAGGGATATCAATCTTATTGCCCAGAATCAACATGGGTGCGTTAGCCACCTGCTCGTCTGTCAGTAAACTCTGGGGAAATTTGCAGTCACATGAAAGAAACATGATCATCAAAGGTAATGGTAATCTTCTAACAGAGGATGTGAAGTGTTAATACTTCATATATACAATCTTACATACAAATTTTATTCTTATTTTGGTCACACTTGCAATAGATTATCTACTTCTGCAATGCCGTCTCTAGTATGAACTTTACTGTCTTTTGTAATTCACTTAGAGGCCTGTAAAGTTTAGCTTCCAACAATGTCTCTTTTGGCCAGATGTTTTGCCTAGAAACGTTGTATTTGGGAAAGATGTGATCTATTGTCTCAGGTTACATCAAAATGATATTCTGTCCTGTTCTCTTCCTTGTCACATTTCATACATAGAAAATTCAGAACTGTGTTACCATAAATCAAAGAAAGGTATTCCAAATTCTGTATCTCATTTCAGGCAATTGCATTTCAGTGTCTTCTTACTCCTTTTATCCCTCAATGGAGCATTGGCCCTCAACCAACTCAGGTCAAGTCGTCTTATCCTTTGCTATCACAGGCAGCTCACCACATGTCCTGATTATCATTTTAGCTTTAATCTCTAGTTCTCTTATTGTGTTTTTGGTGTGCTTTTATTTCTATGCCCCTGTGAGTTTCAGTGTAAAACCCTTCTAGTTATAATGCAGCTCGCCCTTTCTTTTAATGATCTTTTTTAACTTCTCTTCTCATTGTGTTTCTGGAGTGCTTTTTTATTTCTCTGAGTTCCAGTTTAAAGCCCTTCCAGTTATAACTTTCTTAGGCTTCCTCAAAGTGTCCTCCATCAAACACCAGTGTCTTTCCTGTACCTCCTGGTTCACCGGAAATTGTTTTGTTCTTTACCAAAGCTTCATATTGGTGATTCTTTCATACCATTTAATTTCCCATTTTTTGCATAAGCATCTTATCTAATAAATCTCTCTCATTAAACATCAGAAAACAAGTACTGAAATGTTATATTGAGCCTGTTATGTTGTATAGCAGTGAATCTTGAAATGTGAGCAAACAGATTAAGGAGAGTTTGGAGGCAGCTGAGATGTGGTTCTTAAGAAGAGTGTTGCGAATACCTTGGATTGCCAGAAAAACTAACAATGACTGACTGGAAATGGCTAATGAAAGTAGAACATTGTTTTTAACAAAGAGAAGGAGACAAAGTTCTTTGGTCACGTGTTGAGAAAAGGAGCACTGAAAAATACTGTGACGGCTGGAAAGACAGAACACCAAAACCGAGATCTGTGGAGATGCATGAATGCCAATGCCAGCTGGCAAGGCACCTGATGACAATCAGCTAAGGAATGTTTGCAGTTTATTATGAACTGTTTTAGCTGTTCTTCCTGTTGCCACTTCATAAAGCAGTACTGATCTGACATTTTTAAGCTTAGTATTTGTTTTAATTTCATTCGACTCCCACAAACTTCCTTGTGATATGAAAACTACTTTTGCTTTTTGTATTTGTTCTGTAATACCTATATCAGTTCTCCCATCTTTATCTACATTACTGCCTAAATAGGTTTATGACTTCACATCTTGGAGTAGGATATCACAAAGAGAAAGTGAACCATTATTTGCCTGGTTTATTCTCATTGTCTCTCTTTCCCTTATTAGAACCTAATTGTTGTGATCTGTCATCATGGATGTTCAATTTATCTTGCATCTGATTTGGTGACTTAAATGACAGATATGTGTCATCTCTTAGGAGCCATTTAACAAGATATCCTTCTCTCCAGTCTGTTGATATTCTTTTGGTTTCCCATTCTTTACTTAATAATTATGTAGCAATTCTGTAGATGCCTTAATAACTTCTGCTGGAGTATCATCTGGATCTGCAGCCTTCTCTTCCATTCTGAGATGGATAGCTTTCCTCATTTCTTCTTTAGATGGTGTCTCACTGTCAAAATCCAGTTCAATTTCTCAATTCTGAATATCTGGAAGGACCTCAAGTTTTTATATTTCTGTCTGCTTTATGTTACTTTTTTTCTCTCTGTAGTATGAAGCGGGCAAGACACAATCAAATATTATAGCCACTAAACTGTCTAAACTGTTATTTGAGTCTTTTATGTTCAAATTGTACAGTACTCTTTTTCTTAAGTTAGACTGATATCAAAGCCCTCCTGGATTCGAAAAATATCCTGCCAGCGCTGAGGATAAATCTCAGACTACTGTCTTAGTACAGTGATCTAATTTTATAAGGAACCACACCACAATGGCTCTCATCCATAAAATATGGCCCCAAATATAATCTAGACAAACTGAATACTTGTTTTTTTTTTTAAATGGCCGCCTTTACTTCTCGGGACCCATCTAGTTAAGGCTGATGTTAAAAACTAACTTGGACTCCCATGTCATTTTCCCAGACACTAGGTACCAAGAAATACTGTGCAATGTATCTACACCACATACTCAAAAGGCCTGTGTGTGGAATCGGATCACTTATTTTATTCTGCTTACAATAAATGGCAACATAAACTGGAGTACAGCCATTTTGAACAATTACACACATCAGTATCTCCTGTTTCCAGGAGCAGCTGGCCGAGCAGTCACAACACCAGGCTCTCATGCGGAAGACCCAAGTCCAACCCCAGGTAAGATTATGGAAATTTTTCTGCCAGTGGTAAAATCAAATATCCTAACCTCCAAAGTCTGTGACAATAGCACGAGCCACACAGCACAAAGTTATAAGGTCACTGTGGTCTGAACATGCTGTTTACATAAACTGTACATCCACTTCTTCAAAGCAATGGGTAACTGCATCATATATAGACTTAGAACATTAACCAACTAAAACCTACATTTTGAGGAGGATCCACACAATAGCTTCAAATAAACATACCTGCAGCAAGTTCTACAAACAAAATCTGTTCTGAACTCAAATGTCTCTCTGAATTATTCAATGGCTGAGACAAACACCAACGCTGTCAGTACTGGCCATAGGAAATGTAGATCTAATCTGTTTTCTTCATAGCACGTTGGCAAGTGATGAAAAACATAACAAAAAACAACACAAGAGAATACTTCTTCACCAAATGTTGGAAGGGAACAACAACAGGTCAAACTGCACTAAAATTCCTCAACTGAAAGTAATAACATCAATGATGTTAGCAGCAAAACACCACAGCCTAATTTTTCAATTTTCAACAAGGCATGAAAAAAATTAGTAGTGATCTAACAAGTACCAATCCTTGAAATGCAGAATCCGCTCAACCTCTCATCCTTATGAAGCCATCTCTTCACAACCAGGTACTTTGAAATATCATAGACAATCACCACAGACTCACTTTATGGAACAGACAACTGCGGAGACTGACCTTAATAAAAATGGCACTGGGGAGCTAAGAGAGAACTCAGCAGCTTTAGGATAAACAACAGCAATGCAAACTGTCACGGTGAAGACCTTTTCATCAGGATTACTCATAAGAAGATATCATAGAGAATGAGTGAGTTTAATGAACATAGTGGTGATAAAATGAAGCCAAAATTCACATAATTTAGCTAACACTAATGCAGAGCATTTAAGGGTGAGAGGAATTCTGGTCAAAATGATTACACAATAGGACCTTTACCGTCACACAATATTATGCAATGGAGCACTTATCTTCTCCAAAAATTATGCAAAGAGCATGATTTATTTATTATCTTTGCAAAATGATTATGAAACGAATGTGAGTTCCCCAGAAAATAAATACACAATGAACATGAGTCGCCCCCACCCCCAGAAAATAATGCAACACAGGACTCATCGTCTTGTCAAAAAATGATTATGAAATAGAGCGGGAGTTTTCTCAGAAAAAAGTCAACTGCAGGATTTTTTTTTTACATAGCCAACACGTGCTTCCAAAACTGTTGGGCTTCATGTCATAGTTAAATACACTTCAAAGCAAAATATACAAAACACAACACTCCACTTACATCTAATTCAGCCTTTGCTTCAACAAATCTGGCTCTGTCGTGACAATCAATAAGAAAGACTATTCCATCCACAGCAGGAAAATAATCCTTCCAAACCCTTCGTGCTGAAAGCAGAGCAACCATTTTCAAATTAAAGTGTAACTTTTTATAGAGTTTTACAAGGAAATAAAGCTTGAATACATGCATTAACACATCAGCACATTAATACATAATTATCTTTTTTCCCTAATGCATACAATCATGATATTAGGCTATGACTCAATAATGTGTGGGGAGAAAGAAGAAGAACAATCTTCCCGGTGCAAAAGCCACAGATGTCCCTTACCATACACAGCATTTGTCAAATACTACCTGCCATTACAAGTTACATACTGTCTTAATTCTGGTGACAATATGTTCAGATAGGAACTGCAAGAAGAATGTATCGTCAACTTGAGCTCCATCTTTGTTGAGAAATGACCAGTGTAAATAAATGATGGCAGAAACAATATATTGCCCAATGTACTGCCTGGCATATCTCGCTGTTTTCTTGACAATGGCATACTAGAGAATCTACACAAACGTCAGGGTTATTTACCACTCACTGAACAGGTAGGTGTCTCTAAAGATTGGTTGGATTAAGGATGGGCAATCTGTGTTAAGTTAAACAGGATTTTCTTTATCTGGGGCAACAATTAAATCTTAAACTGAAGTCTATGGAGACTGCACTATCCATATGGCCCACAATTCTTAGGCTCAACCACCTCTCTGACACCAACACCGTCAACAGGTGTTCAGTAAATACAGGCAGTAAAGTTAGCTTTTTAACCCTGAGATTTTATCCATATTTGTTAATTTTTGTTGATACATAAACTAACAAAATTTAAAAAAAAGGAATGAAAGTTGGAATATTAAGTCATCTGATTAAGGGCGTGAGGGAGAGGTGCCTGTCTGCAGTTTCCTTGCTGTGTCTGCCTCTTGTTTCCTCCGCCTTGCCTCTCTCATACACAACATTTAATACATTATTATATATCAAAACCAAACAATCTGCACACTTAGGTTTACCTTGCCTGTGACCTCCAAGATCAAATGTCGTAAACTTCATGCCACCCATTGATAACTCTTCAGATGCTGTCAAAGACAATTTGTAAACTTTCTGTATTATCTGTGGTTCTACTAATACACATATTAGGCTTGTAATCTTTGTGTACAATTACTCTTAGTATCTGTTGCACTCAAAGACCCATCAACAACTACTGACAATATATTTATAATCTCTAATAAAAAGATAAATATATCAACAATATGTTTCTAATCTCTAAAAACTTTCCTTCAACAATATATATATATATATATATATATATATATATATATATATATATATATATATATATATATATATATATATATATATATATATATATATATATATATATATATATATATATATATATATATATATATAAAAACTAATCTCTTAAACAAACAGAAAGATGTCAACAATGCATATTAAAATCTGAAAACTTTTCTTTAACAATATTTATCTAACCTCTAAAAAAAACAGAAGACTAAAGTACAACAACATGTCTCCAATCTCTAACACGAACAGAAAACTATCCATCAACGCTTTATATCTTTAAACGAAACAGAAAACTATCCAACATTTTATATCTCTAAAACAAACAGAAAACTATCCTTCAACATTATATATCTCTAAAACAAACAGAAAACTATCCTTCAACATTATATATCTCTAAAACAAACAGAAAACTATCCTTCAACATTATATATCTCTAAAACAAACAGAAAACTATCCTTCAACATTATATATCTCTAAAACAAACAGAAAACTATCCTTCAAAATTATATATCTCTAAAACAAACAGAAAACTATCCTTCAACATTATATATCTCTAAAACAAACAGAAAACTATCCTTCAACATTATATATCTCTAAAACAAACAGAAAACTATCCTTCAACATTATATATCTCTAAAACAAACAGAAAACTATCCTTCAACATTATATATCTCTAAAACAAACAGAAAACTATCCTTCAACATTATATATCTCTAAAAAACAAACAGAAAACTATCCTTCAACATTATATATACCTAAAACAGAAAACTATTCTTCAACATTATATATCTCTATAACAAACAGAAAACTTTACTTCAATAAAAATATCTAATCTCTAAAACAAACACAAAATTATCCTTCAACGTTACGGACCTAATCTCTAAAACAAACAGTATATATAATAATATGTTTCTATCTCAAAACCAAACAGAAAACATTCCCTCAACAATAAGTATCTGTGCTTCCAGATGTAAAAGATCACTATCCTAAATGCAGACTGACTTTATACCCTATGAGCTGTTGTCTGAAAGTTTGAGACTCTTGCAACTCAAAGAGTGACATCCTGGATATCAATACAACAAAACAAATCCAAGATACCCCCGTTCAACATCCAAAGAAGTTTTTATTAAGACATCCCTAACAGCTACATCAAGTACTTCTGCTCTTCCTCCAGTGACTTTTTCGAAGTTTTAGGGAAAGATGTCAGGATCATTTATGTGCTCCTCTTAATCTGCTGCAAAAGTTGATCTTCATTTCTACCAGGCTTTTCCTGATGTCACCACTCCATATTTAGTGTAATCCTCTACTAGGTCTCTGTTCATTGTTTTTCTTCAGTGTGGTACTTTGTGGCAGCTGCTACAGCTGCATTCTCATTAGATGGCCAAAACAATTGGCCTGTTGGTCTTTTATGAACTGAATAAGTGATTTCAGTCATAGTCTTCGAATTTTACATTTCAAAGTTGTATCTCTTCTTGCTACTCAGGCAGCGCCCCTAAGACATCTCATCTCTATTATATTTGTGTTCATTAGTTATAGTATATCATCATGTGTTCTGTCAGTTGGCCTAGGCGCTCATGCATCTCCACAGATCACCATCCCTGGTTGCCTGGAACAGCTCTTTTGATGATATTCCTCCATGCTATCTTTTCAGTCCAACCAGCATCATCTCTCTTTGTCTGCCTCTACCAATCTTTCCAGTTGTCACACAATGTTTTCCAATACCTCTTTTCCCATTACGTGGCCAAAGAACAGTGTTTTTCTACTTACTGTGGTTTTTAGAAATCTACTTTCATTAGCCTCTTTTAAACAATTGTTACTCTGGCCATCCAAGGTATTAACATTCGTCTCAAAAACCACATCTCTGTTGCTTCCAAACATTTCCTTATTTGTTCACTGACATTCCATGATCCACTGTTGTACAGCAGAACAGGTTCTATGTAACATTTTAGCACTCTATTCTGACATTAAATGACAGCGACTTATTGCATAAGATATTTTTCTTATTTTGTGAAATGCTGCCTTCGCTTGACATATTCTGCTTTTAATCTCTGCCACACATTTTTCCATCTAATGATAAGATTGTTCTCAGATATTTGAATTTATTGACTTGGTTAAATCTTTTTCCTTCAATTGAGATATCACATTGTGTTATCTTCTTCTTTGATATAACCATTACTTCCGTTTTCCTAATATTCAAGGAAAATTCTGTCTTAGCACTCTCCATCCCCACAATATCCAGCAGTTTTTCTAAATCAGATGTGTTTTCAGCTATCAAAACTGTATCATCTGCATAATGCAAATTGTTTATATTCTATACTCCCACTTTTATTTATGCTTTTTTCTTTAATTTCCCTCAAAATTACTTCACTATACACAGAAGGTCTGAAGATAAGACACATCCATGTCTTACTGCTTGCTTTATCTGTTCAAAAGTACCCAATCTGTTTCCCACTTTAATTGCTGCTACTTGGTTCCAGTAAGTGTTTTTAATCACTCTGAGATCTTTCCCATTTACATTAATGTCTTTCAACATTTTTATCATCTCATGTTTAACTTTGTAAAATGCTTATGTATAATCTATAAAGCCCAAATAGAAATCCTTCTGTATGTCCACTGATCTTTCTATTAGTGTTTGTAATAAATCCATACTGCTCTTCTCTCATTTCCATTCTTATTTTTTCTTTGTGTTCTCATTATAATTCTATGTAAAAATTTGGTGACATAATTTAAGTTGATTGTACAAAATTCTTCACATTCAACTGTTCCTGATCTTTTGGGTAATGCAATAAATAAAGATTTCATTTATCATGTCACTTGGACATGGCTTTAAAGCCAGTTATAGTATGGATCCATGTTTTACACAGTTATTATGTTTGACAAACAGAGTTGGTCAAAAGTTAGTTCTTATGAGATCTGCTTAAATCCAGTACTGCCCTGGTATACCCTACTGTCCTAGGCATGTGGGAATGCTGTTAGTGCTAGAATAATCCTGACCATTGCCAAATGTTACCCTACACAAATAACAAGAATTTTACTACTATATATTTCATTTAGACCAAAACTGTCCTTTGTGTCAAACGTGTTAGCAAAGCTGAGAAAGACATGAGTTCCTGACTTACCGCTCTGACACACATGCATCCCCTGGCATGCCTTGTTAGTGGACCCAAAAGGGCATGCAGAAATCAAAATGTGCCAACAAGAAGTCATTCCCCACAAATATATTTTCTAGATTTATGGTTCAATAAAAAGCCTTTTTTGGGTCTGGTTCAGAATTGTCACCAACAATTTAGTTATCTTTCAGAATTGTCACCAACAATTTAGTTATCTTTCAGAATTGTCACCAACAATTTAGTAATCTTTCAGAATTGTCACCAACAATTTAGTTATCTTTCAGAATTGAAAACATGAGACCAAGTTTTATAAATTTAATTTACACAGTTTTTAAAAATAAAGTAAGAGGGGAAAGGATGCAGGAGAGAAAGGAGGAGGAAGAAGGAGGGGGTATCAAATTATTAGGTGAATTAAAGTAAAAATGCCAAAATATGTCTTAAATATTTTCAGCAAATTAAAAGCTAAGCAAATATGATGAGTCCCTACCAAACAAGACAATTACATATACTCCAAAATGTCCACGGTGAATAAGAAAGTTTTCTAGCATGTACAAGCCCATCATTAGCCATTAACATCTGCTAACACTTACAAATAGTCAATCAGATGTCTTTGATTCAAGTATAAATGGGACAGAAAATCTGTACAAAATTCCCATAAAATGAAAACTCTCAAAGTGAAAAAAGAGCTCAACCTCTAGCCTGGAACCATGCCCATAGTGAAACCAAGTGTACAGTGATGACTGTGCGGGGAATGACTTACTTGGGTGAAGGGTTGGTACATGCTGGGCCATCCTGTCATCTTTCAGTCTGTGAAGGAGTGTTGTTTTGCCAGCATTGTCTAGACCAAGGAACACTAATTTACCCGACTTCTTCCATAAACCTGAAGAGCACACACACATACACAGCATATCTAATGAGGAGGTTAGGAAACAATTCTGGTATATTTAATATATAAACATTTGAAAACAGATTTGACTACTGTCCTGTCAGATCATCTGTGTCTGCTCTTAGTCAAAGCTAGTCTATTCTTCCTTCTTACTCTTCTTCTGCCTCTTTTCTTCATATACAACAGAAGCCATTATTACATCCATACCCATTTCTTTGTAAACCTCTTCATGCTCAAAGAAAAAAGCTGATTTTTTTAAATTAGAGCCAGTCTATTCTTTTTCTGATTCTTCTGCCTCTCATATGACCCAATGGAGGAAGGCTTTCCATGTATTCAAAGCAAGTTATTTATATACCTCTTCATGACTAGCTGGAACTTGCAGCTAAATCTTAGCAAATAATAAGCCACTATCGTGCTACCCCTCCTTAGTTACCTCACAACATGTGTCAGTGTTATTAATCTCTTCTCTATTTGTTTACTTTCATTCTCTTTTTACAAATTATAAATTTTTTTCATATCCAGCAACATCACTACTTTTTGCATACCTGATACAAAATCATAGGAACAAGGAGGAGGAAAAGAAGATGAGGAGCAACAGATATGCTGTGACATCAATTCTTAAATCAGTAATCAGGTATTACAGAAGGATCTGAGTATCAAGTAGCCAGCAGTAACTTTTTTCTAATCAATCAATCATCACATACACAAAATATTTACTATCACCTGTTCTAGCAGTATACTCTCAAATTGCTCCAAGAGACAACTAGTAAAAGGACAGTTTGAACATGATGTAGAAGCAACAACAACAAAACAAAACAAAGAAATTTGACACTACTTCTAGTGTCAATGTTTTCTTTAGAAAAAGAAACACCAGTACTGTCAACGTAAATGAAGTGTTCCTTGGACAATGCTAAGATAAATTATTAATACATCTAGGTGCCCTTTCCAAAGCATGAATCAAATATGCATTTCCAAGGTCATGATTAGTACAGCTCCATGGTTTTAGTTAAAATGCTTGCAGAATTTTAAAGCACAATTATTTGTTCACAGATGGCAAAAGAGAGGATAGTTTGCTGTGAGTTGCAATTTTGTCCTATGCTCAATGGGGGTTAGAGGCAGAAACATAGTTATTTGGTTATAATGTTCTTGTTTCCAGATCAATAACATTGTCTAACTCGCTTGTACATTTTAATGCAATGTAAACATCAAAGCAATCTGCTCATGGTAATTTCTCTCTACTATTTTAACAGCTGTCTTCTGAGTTGATCTTCATCTAAAAATACATTATACGAAGCTACAAGGCAATTTACAACTTTAATTCCCAGTGTTCTTTGGCTGTAAACATTATAAATGTCATTTCCTCTTTATAAAATGACCGTTCAACCAAGTTATCTCCATGTGAACAGTTTACCACAGTACCATGCCACTGTTCTGTCCATGTTATGAATGACTCAATCATTTCTTAATCTAATTTACATATTTATTTCAAAAATGTAGTCTCCCTGCTTCACATTTTTTTGGGTTTAAACTGCCTTTGCTTACAAATATTTAGGATAGTGTATGACAAGAAAAAGGGGCTGCTCGAGCAGTTACCATGTCAGGCTCTCACTTGGGAGACCCCAGTTCGACCTCTGGTAAGGTGATAGATGTTTTTATGTCAAATGCAAACAATAATACATCCTAACCTACAGTCTGTAGCAACAGGACTTTTGGCCCTAAATCCTCATTACGCCTGTTTACACCTTCGAAAAATCCAGATAGTAGTCACAGTAGGACAGGAAATGGGTTGGGATCTGGAGCAAATGGCAAGCTAGTGTATGACTTTGTGTGAGCCTCGACAGAAAATATTTCCACTGCCTTAATGAGCCTCCTGTATGAGAGGTTAGTGTTTTATTTGCTCAGCCAGCCTTTCCTCTAACTTGGGTGTTATATTTTCCTCATCCTTTCTCTCCTTATCACTTTTCTGAAGCAAACTGTACCAGCAATAGATAAGCAACTAATTACTACCTAATTGGTGTTATAAATCACATCAGGAAATCGGCTAGATGAGGACATTTTACATCCACCACACAGGAATCTCACGGCAGAACATAAAATGTTACAAACAAGAGCATGCTGGTCTCTGCCAGTAGATGGCCACGCAAGTGCTGAAATCATGCATGTACCTTGTCAGCTTCACTTACTAGGGTGAAGGGTGGGCACAGGTTGGATAATGTGTCCCTCCTTGAGAACCCCTAAAAGTGTTGTTTTTCCAGCATTATCTAAACCCAGCAGTATTAGTTTCCCTGCTTTTCTGTAGAATCCTTGTATTGAACATGTAAGAATATTTCCATGAATTATGTGCAAACATATTAACCTCATGAACAATTATCTTGCCCAAAAAGGTCTATATTATATGCTTGAGAGAATGAACAAATTTACAATACTTTCAATGATAGTGCTAGGCATGGTAGATCACAAATAATTCACAGCCGCAAAATTAAAAATAACAGACTGGTCAGAAGGAATAAAATCAGGAGTGAGATCACGAAAGCAACAACAACAAAATTGGTCAGCACAAAACTAATACTGAATTACATATACAGTCAGCAAATGAACTAGTTTACTCACTTTGAGAGAAGCCTTGTCATATTATTCCATACAACGCACAAAGCAAAAGAAGTGGGACCTACAGCCTAAGGTAAACCAAGAACAAGATAGAAAGATATTACAGAAAAAAGCATCAAGTGTCTATGATCAAGGTGGTCAGAAGAGGAAGTAACAAAACTCTGCGTCTTCCTCAATATCTACATGGTAAAAGAGGAAGTGAAAGACATAATTTACTTCCAATGATCTGGAAAGTGTTGTTACTACTCCCCAACTACCAGGTATAGCGATTATGTTTTATAAATGTGACAAAATGGTCGAGACCTTATTCTGAAGCACCCTATCGTCAAAATGTTTAGAATATGTTCAGTAGCTACTAGAATATCATATTTTGTTTTACTCTAAATCAAACAAACATGAAGAAATCAAGAAATAAATGCTTTACCTAAAAAGTTTAGCATAGACGAAAACCACTCCACAATAAACATGGTTTCTCTTTATCTGGCAGGCCCGCACACTCTGTAAAGAAAGAAGTGTGAAAGCAATTATAGCATCTGTGTTATATGTGATTTTTCTTGTATGTGTCGTGTCAGCCAGAGACAGACAAGGGACATGAAAGAAAAGGATCATTTTCCATGCCTTCAGGCATATTGGGCACATAGGGCTAGACCTATAGTTTACAAACCAACAGGTACTCGTTGGGTGATGTCAACATCATGCCAGCTGCCTTTACTTCTCAGGACTTTACCTGGTACCAATTTAAGGCTGGGTCAATCTATGATCCAAGGTCATTTTTGTAAAGTCTGGCTCCCTCAGGATTTGAACCAACAACCTTTGGATCCCCAGGTGAGCATCTAGCCAATACCACAGTAGCTTCTGACAAGGGAGAGTACTTTGATGTTAACTACCCACATGGAGAATATACAAATGATCAGATGTAAAAAGATTACCACCCAACATAACAAACAAAAATCACAATGTAAAATTTTATTCATAAAATATGTTAGTGTGTTTTCCATCTTGCAGTTTTCTAATTCCTTCAGCTTTCTCAATTTAAAAAAATTATGTGCTGTACGCACAATATTTTGCCATGGATTTCGGTCCCTGATGTCTATCCAGACCACAACAATGTATTCTTTTTGTGTAATTCTTTTTTGCTCGCTCTTGAAAAGGGGGGGGGGGGGGGGGTGGGCATGCTGTGTTGTGGTTTACATCTAGACTGCGATATATGTGCCTCTTAGACCAACATGTCTACTTTCAGCAGCCCCTAATAAGTTGCTTTTTCTGACGTGCTTATTAGGGAGAAACTAGCTTTGCGCTCCCCCACCCTTTTCCCCCCGCCACGGTTAAAAACACACATACATGAGATAGTGTAATTCTATGCTGCAAATTCTGTGGCCACTCCTCTTAATCTGGATCTTCTCAGTATAATACTGCACTGTCTCCTTCTAAATCTTCGTTCATATTCATGCTGAATATTCAGAGCATAAGGACAACAAGAATGTGTACTATCACATGATTTGTTTCCATGATATAGTAAATATTTAATGAGATTTATCATGATATGCCAGGGATTGTGCTTGGTGGTCATAACATAAACAATCTGCATTATGCAGATGACATCGTCTTGACAGCGACAAGTAAGAAAGAACTATAGGAACATAGGTCATGGCAGAAAGTGATAAAATGGGTCTCAGTTTCAATAATTAGAAGAGAGAAGTAATAGTGATTATCCAAGAAGAGAATACTGCCTAAATGTATTTTTTAAAAGTCAAAGTCGTTATTTTAAGACAAGTAAAGAAAATTAAGTATCTAGGCATATGCATAACATCAGACAGAATATGTATCACAGAGATAAAGAACAGAATAGGACAGGTCAAAGCTGCATTTAATAAAATTAAGAACATTTTATGCAATAAATCCATGTCATTTGAGCTTAGAAAAAGAACTCTCACAATAAACAAGCCAAACAATTTCTTCAGGCCTCAGAGATGTTTTAGAATTCCTTGGACAGCCAAAAACAGCAACCCAAATGTTTTGAAGGAGGTAAGAGCTCAAATACAACTTTTTCTGAATATCAGAAAGAGGCAATCAAAATTTTGCTGGTCATGTTATGATAAAGAAACTGGAACATACTGTGACCACTGGAAACATCTGTAGAAAGAGAGATAGAGGAAGACAGTGTGAGAAGATTCTTGATAGCCTTTTGTCTTGGTGTGGATGGGTGTCAACAGAGAAACCAATACACACAGTTGCACATCAGATTGTGGAGAGGTATGATCGCCCATGCCAGTTGGCAATGCACTTGATGAGGATGATATTTCATGCTTGTTGGCCCCTACCCCTCTTTCCTAGCACCAGGCCTTCTGCCACTATTCTTTCCATTCTAACGTGGCACTTGATATGGCTAAAATATTTAAGTTTGCAGGACAAGATGCTGTTTACAAGGCAAGCTTCCTTGATATTCAGGTCTTTTAGGATATTAGTATGTATTTTCTTCTTGGTCCCTTGTATTCTGATAATCATTCTATAGCATTTCCGTTCAAAATACCATATATTCTTCACTAATGACTGCTAGGTGGTCCACACCTGACATCCATATGTTGCTACAGTAAAGATGCATGCACTCAAAATTGTGACTTTGACATTTCTGCTGGTGACAGCTGCCGTGGTGTAGCTGGGGGTCGGGTCAGAAGGTCATGGGTCCTGGTCCTGGTGAAGCCTGAATTGTTTCAAAAATAACCTTGGTTCTCCAGTCAATCCAACCTTGAGTGGATACCAGATACAGGCTTGGGAAGTAAAGGTGACCAACATGATTCTCTATATCACCCACCCAGGGACAACTGGAAAATACAGATCTAGCTGTATATGCCCAACACGCCTGAAGGTTTTGAAAAAGAGTCCTTTTTTTCCTTGCCGGTGCTTAACCACAGACTTGTAATGCTTTTTAATCGCACCATAGCTAAGGCCATCTCCTTTATTATTTATTATGGAGCCTAGGTATTCAAAGCTTGTGTCATTTCCACTATCTTCATCATTTATTGTTACTTATGGGTGACTGGCAGTTCTGTCAGTGGATTTTTTTAAAAACTCAGGAACAGCTTGTGATCTCCACCAACTTAACTGTGTGTTACAGACATTATAAAATGTTCTATCCCGTTTACATAGTTTGAAGGGAAGACTGAGCTGTCTATTTATTAGGGAATAGGATGGCCGCCAATTATTAGCGGATCATAGCTGTGATAAGTCTGGTAAGTTTTGACATTTCTCATTATGATTTCCGCACATATATGATACAGGTATAGTCAGAGAATGTGCCCCTGCGCTAACTCACTATTGCACCTCAAATCAATCTGAGTTTCTCCAGCTAAACTGGACACAGTCTGAGAAGAAACCAGCACAGAATAACCTAATAGGCATCAAAATAGGAAATAAAGAAATTAGGGAGGCAAGGACACCCAAAAGAAACCCTAGGACGAACATTGATGAGAGAGACAAAAGCTACTGGGATGATTCCATCCATGATATTGAACTAAATGCACAGGATAGAACAGATGGAGAAACAGACTGCAAGCCATTTGTGACATATAATGGTATAAAAGGATAATGAATGTGCTGGCAAACCCCATACCTGTCCACAATTTCTGATGGTGGACACAGTCAAAGGGCTCGTTATAATTAACAGAACAAGCATGGAGATCTATGTTGTATTCATTTTTTGAAAACTATTCTCATTTTAAAAATGTGATCTCTAGTTCCTCTGCCTTATCTGCAACCTGCCTGTAGCTCATAATGTAATTTCCTTTCAATTCTCTTCATGATAATTTATAAGAGGATTTTGCTGGCATTACATACTGGTGCGATTCTACGATAGTTGGTGCATTGTTTCAAATTTCCTTTCTTTAGGAGATAGATACAGATGGTTATTTTCCATATTTGAGGCCAAATGGTGCTGTTCCAGATGTTTATGCATAGTGCAAAGAAGATCCGGACGCTGGCTTCTCCTCCGGCCTGGATTCGTTTTGCTGGTATTTTGGCTCAACATGGTGACTTCCCTTTCTAAAAACTGCGGACTGCTGATTGTACTGCTTCCAGTAAGGGCTCTGGTTTTTTTCCCCTCACTTTTATTAAGTTGTTTCTGAATTACTTGTTAGATCCTAATACATTTCTCTACAGTACTCATTCATCTTTCCAATATGTCCTTTCTTTGTGTCAAGATGTTACAATTTTTAACATTTATTATGTGACATAATGGCCTGATAATGAATGAAAATGGAGAATTGTTCACAAATTTTTGTGCAGGTAACCAGTATGTTATTGGTGGAAGTATTTTTCCCCATAAAAGTATACACAAGGCAACATGGGAATCACCAGACCATAAGACAACTAATCAAATTGACCACACATGAATTAACAAAAAGTTTAGATCATCCCTTTACGATGTTAGGGCTTTCAGAGGTGCCGATGTATTTACTGACCATTTCCTGGTGATAAGTAAAATCAAGTTGAAACTAAAAAGATATATTCTTCTTCTTCTTCACTTCCTCTTTTACCGCTGTGGGTGTCGAGGGAGATATAAGGTTCTGTTTCTAGCTCTTCTGGCTGCCTCGACCCGACCATAGGCACATCGTGCTGTTGTAGAGTTTCTCTGATGTTATCCTTCCATCTTGTTCTTGGTCTACCCCGTGTTCTACGTCCTTCTCTTTCCAAGTATGCTTTGTATGGTATGGTGTCACAAGGCATTCTCTCTAAGTGGGCAAACCATTTCACTTGCTGTCTTTGTATGTAATCCAGAATTGGTTCTGTGCCGACTTGTTCTCTTATGATCTCATTCCTGATCTTATCTCTTATGGTCACTCCTACAGCCCTTCTCAGACATCTCATTTCCATATTACTAATTTTCTTTTATGGTTTGTTGTGAGTGACCATGTCTGGCACTGGTAGCACAGAGTTGGAAAAAATATGCTTTGAATAAGATGTCTCTTTGTGCTGATTGGGATTGTAAAGATATATAACATCTTATAATCATAGAAACCAATATAATGTAGGCTTTCTCAGAGATAAAGAAATTAAGGAACAGTTCTCAGTTACGGTCTCTAATAAGTACCAGGTGTTGCATCAGTTAGCTGAAGATGTCAACACAGAAGTCTGCTGGGATCAGATCAAAGGAATCTGGAATGAATCTTGCGTAGAAGTTCTTGGCAAGAAAGAAAGGAAACATAAAGCATTAAACTGATTGAAGATAGGAAAAGTAAAAAGGCAGAATTAAACAATAGCAAAACTAGAGCTGCTAAAGCTAGAGCTCAGGAGAATTACACAGAAGCCAACAAGGAAGTTAGGAGGCATATAAGGGCAGATAAAGTGAAATATTTAAATGATCTAGCACAAGAAGCGGAGACAGCAGCAGCAAAAGGAAACCTCAGAGAACTTTACAGTAACACAAGAAAATTAATAGGTAAATATAGTCAGCCAACTGGATCAATCCAAA